ACTCAGTCCCCCATTTCCCCCAGTCCATCATTTGAACTAAGGATAACAGAAGTCAGTCTTCAATGATAATGAAAAAATCAAAGTCTGTCTCAATTTTTAACTTTATGAAGCTGACAAATTATATTTGTCAAATTATTATGACATATTTTTCAAAGCAAGTGCGTTTTTAAACAAAAAGCTCCAAAGAAAAAACTGAGTTGCTTGAAATCGGTGTCTTTATTCTAAGAGATCACTGCTTTTTATTTCAAGATTGCTTTAAAAATGTGTTCATTTTGGGGCTGGAACACACCCATGCACATACTATATGGTCCTTATTTCCAGCTTTTATCACTTTTTCAAAACAAAGTTTAAGACCTGAAAATCTAAATAAAATAAAACTATCCACAATACAAAGCAGAACTGAATTTCAAGTTTCAAATCATACTAATACAAAATTAGTCAGTTATAAACAGCGTACACCATGTACAAAACATGGTGGAGAGTTGAAAACAAAGTATTTTTTGCATTGCATATTGATCTTAAACAGAATAATGCCAAGATCATGCCCTCAATGTAGCTTAGAAAGCTAAAAATAAAAGTCCTTGCTTTTAGAAGGATGAAACCATAATTTAGATGCCATTTATGAATAAATGCAATTTTGCCCATGCATTTTTGTCTTGAACAAATAAGAGTACTTGGGTGTTTCTGCTAGACTATGCCACAGAGTTTAATTTGCAGGTACAAATGACAGCATTATATGAAGCTAAACCCTGAAGGACCACTCAATTACAAGACTATTACAGTCATACCTGAGTGCAGAAAGTAGTTGCCCCATTGCGCACAGCGATGATAAGCTTCACATTGTGCAATTTCATTCTCGTGGTGGGGGAAGGCAAGATCAATTCCACCAGAATGGACATCAAGCTGACTTCCAAAAACAGAGCTGCAGGTACAGTAAGTGAAATGAAATATACATGGGACCATGGGCAGTTATGGACAATGTCCATGAGACCAAATGCAGCACACATTTAAAAAAAAAAACAGATGTGGTGCCATGATCTGCAGGTGTGCCAGCAGGTATCTGTGGCTAGTCGCTCTGGGTAATTAATGCCAGGTTGGCACTGAAGAGAAGCCAATGAATCCTTTGTGCATCACTCAGCAGTGACTCCAGTGTCGCTAAGACTCATCAGGAAGACACCAGTTAAAGTATCAGGCAATGTGTATTTTCCATACAACTAGCATTTCTAAGAGGACCTATGATATCTGAACCAATAACTCATCGTCCTTCTTGTGGGAAGTAACTTTTCAGATCCTGTAACTGAAGTAACTTCAAGATTAAGAGTATCAGTTTCATGTTGTTTGCATTTCATCCTTTATTTCAAACCGGCCACAAGTCCTTTTTGTTCCAATTGAAGGTCAATGGTTCTTATAGAACCGATGGTAGCCAACAATGCTAATAGACAATTCCAGCAAAAAATCCTTAGCCGAATACTCACTTACAAGAACATATTTTAAGAAATAGTATGTCACAGACCACAGAAGATTACATTATACTTAATAATGCGTCACAGAGTCAAGCATTTCCTCACTTTATTTTCCATATATCTGCTAATTGATTAAACTAATATTGTTATTTTCAAAACCTTTTAATTAAAAGAAGAAGAACCCAGAAAGGAATGTTTTCCTATAAATGTGCAGACATGTGAGAAAATGTCCCCACAGAACACTACAAACAATGTGGGCGCGTTCCAATGACTTAAAATTATATGTTTATCAACCAAATTGCATCTTTTTGTGAATCTTGAAATGCCAGTTTGATCTACTGTCATACTATGTTGAGTTGTATAGTGAGATTGCACCACTATACTCTATATTACGAGTGATATAGTGAATAATAATAGATCGGAGGTCAATGAGAAATCTCCAAAGTAAAACAACAATTTGCACGTACTTCTGTATTATTGTTTTTTGGCAATATATTTTCTCTCACCAGGAAAACCTTTTCATAAAGGGCAAAGACAACATTCTTTCAAAGATGTAAAGAAGTATACATATTTCATTATCATGTTCATGAAGATGTTTAACCAAATACAGTCGTTTTTAAAATAAAGGATCTAACCTTGCTATTGTCGAGCATTCGATATGCCAGCCAGGTCTCCCTTTTCCCCAGGGGGAATCCCAGCTCGGTTCTTGAATTTTGGCTTTCTTCCACAGTGCAAAATCCCTGGCATCACGTTTATCTGTGTCCCCTGGGAACAAGACGCAATTATATCTCACATTAGGTTTTGGAATTACCAAACATCATTCTAGCCCTAAAACACCCACTTCTAAAAACCTTAAACATTACATTTACAGAAATTAACTTAACATGTGAACTCTCTGGTCTATTAAAAAGCAGATAAAAGGACATAGAAGACTCCCTTCCTGCAAAAAAGCTTTAATACAGTTGTTGATATTCAAAAGACAAAACCACCAATGGGAAATAAAAGGTGTTTATCAGCTTCTGTAGCCTGAGGCTCTTCTTATTTAAAATCTATGAAAAGACCTTTTTTCTGGTTTCAGTCTGGCTACAACTGAGAATTAGTACAACTGCCTTAAACCAAATAAAATGTTTGCAACACAATGAAAGAATGTTTTATTCTAGAACAGAATTATGAATATGCCTTACAAAACATTAAAAAAAAAACACATTTTCCCTTTTCCTTCAATTCTAACTATCACACTCATTTATCTTCTATTAAATCCAAATTACAGTCCTCACACATTTAACAATTTAGTTTTTAAATTACATTTTCATAGCTTTTGGTACTGAATAACTCTTTTTCCACATTACTAATTCTGGAAATAAAAAAGAAATGACAAACTATTGTCAGTTGCAAATCACAAACATGTTAGGAAATTAAAAATAAAGCAATATATTTTTCAATTTTAGGTATGTTGTACCAATATAAAATGAATTAAAACATGGGAATCAGGGCTCATTATGTCTTATGAGTGTTGTACAAACTAATTTTTTGAGCAAATATGGATGTTCCTGACACCCAACTCAAAAAACCTACAATACTTGGGTTCTACTTACATTTTAATACTGAAACATACCTGGTTCACCTCCTGTATCACCTATGACCATGAGTTTCCCATATCGATCCCCAATGGATTGGATGTCAAAATAGACATTACCTTTTTTGGAATAGAAAAACTGGAACAAATCAGAAATGCTTTCTATTTTATATCAAATTCTTCTGACAAGTTTTCAAAAATAATTTTATTGTACGACAGACATTATAAACTAAATATTATAAATGGAACGGTCGATTTTCCTGTGAATAACACAAAATGTCAGTGGCATACTCTGAAAGTAGGTTAGTATGACTCATACAGTGTACAGTGTACAGTGAATAGTTTAAAACCAAGTGCTAGACACACAAATGTTACTGCTGCAAGCCAAAACGCAGTTTATCATGATGTGGATGTCACTAATATAAACAATTTCTATGTGAGGATGTTCCTGTGCTGTATTTCACTACAGTCGATGTTGGGTTTAAACACAGAGAGATAAAAATCCAATGAGAGGAATCTGCACCTCAAACCCCACTGCCCCTCCTCAGAACTGATACATGCAACATACAGCTAAGAGAGTAAATAGTCTTGAAGAACCTTACCCTGCCCTATAAAAACTATACTAATTTCAATCAACTACAATAATTAGAATTTCTAAGACAATGGAACATGGCTAGCTATAATATAAGCCTGATTTCTTATTCTTGCCAAAAACTGGAAAGCTTCGAATTTTTGCTTTAGAATTGGAATGTGTTTTGGAAATGTACCACAGAACTTTGTATATGCTTTCTGTAAATACTTAATTTACAAAACTGTATTTCTGTAACATAGAAAACAGGCAAGGAACAGAAATTTTCAGCCTGCCATGACTACTGAGAAAGAACTGAAACATTTCCATACATACTTACCTTTACTTGTACAATACGCATGCTGGTTTTTAATTATACCCTCGATGAAAGCTATGATTTGTGGAATGTTCTCAGTTACTCTCATGTAAACTGTAGGAGGAAGCACCTATAGAAAAGACAGAAGTTATCATTCTTGGTCAAAATAGCCACACGCCTTCAAAGGACGAATTAGTACACATTGAGGAAGCTGCAAAGAAATCCAGAAACACTCAACTGGAAGATGGCATTTAAATGTGGAGTATTCCCTAAAGGTAGCAAATATTATGAACTATATTTATAAGATGGGAAGCACTTAGCTTCAAGATATTATATCTTCTTCTAGCAATAAAAGGCAAACTGTTAGAATATACTATATAGTTAAATGTTCTGTCACAACTCTACAATTTCTTTTATACTGTACATACTGTATAAAGCGGATTTGTAACAAACTTTGCATTTTGAGTATTTTCCCTGCTTTGCTTACCTTAAGAGCTTCCATATCATTCTTGAACTCCTCTTCATAAAGCCTGGCCAAAATTGTAGGTGACATATTTTCCTGTTAAAAACACAATTTTAAGCACAAAATCATTTGGCTCCTGTCTTGAAAGTCCCTAAAAACTATGTAAATTATATAAATGTAGCCTATAATAGGCAGGATCTGAAGGTAGCTCCAAGAATAAAGGTGGTAGTCTTCTACAACTGGGATTTCATTACGACTAGCCAGAACAACCACGACTTAGAATGAGAAAACCAAATGCAGGGCCATGGGAAACTGTGTTCATTATAAAGTACTGCTCCAAAAACTCAAGATATGATAAATGATTTATCAGACAACTCAATCCTGTATTATATACAAGTAAGAAAACACACGTTTTCGATTGTAAAATGAATATATATAGCCATGATCCCACATGTCAATGAATAAGATAATACACACGCTCTTTTCAGTCAAACAGCTTACCCAGTAAATGACAGACTAAGTTGACAAATCAATTAGTGTTAAAGAAAAGACAGCTATCTATTCAGGTATACAAAATATTATCAAACCTAGGGTTATCAGTGCAGAAGAATGAACAACATTGTCCCTTTAAATAGTAGTTGGACATACCCTTAAACAAAGGAAAGATAAGTTACCTCATCATTCAGGAGGTAACTTTCAGTACCATGGACGTTTCTAGATAATAGTAAGTTGTTAGAAAGGTAAATTAAAAATTAACATTATAATAAACCTCTTCAGCAAGTTAAGCTAATGCTGAAAAAGTGTCTTCCAAGAAGAGTATAACAAACTGTTGTTTTCCAAAACTAAATCTTGTTCAATTTACGATATTCATTAAATGTGATTTCAGTCAAGTACCTCTGATGCTCTCTTAATTATTTTGTCATCTATGTCAGTGATGACCATCACGTGAATTACATCAATCCCAAAAACTCTGGACAGAATCCTTTGTAGAATATCAAACCTGACATAGGAGCTGGTGGAAAAAACAAGAGAAAAAATAAAAGAAAGTTTTAGAGAGGTGATTACACTGTCAAAGCAAAAAGATAAATCCAAGAAACAGTTAAAGCGGTAAAATTGTAACTGAAGATTTTAATTTACAAAAAAATATTAGTGTTAAAATCTAAAATTACCACACAGAACAATTTTTAGTCTAGAAATTAGGGTGGTGGAAGTCAACTAGTATAATTATATTGTATGCATGTGAAGTAATATTAAAGTTCAGTGCTTTCTCCCTGTAGAACTAACAGTCATACAAGGTATTTACAGCACAACTATGAGGTATGGGTATAAGCATACTTTATTTTAATTTGTTGACAAACCAGAGACATGAACAGCTCTTTTTTAATTAAAACGATTTTAATGTTGTTAATTTAGATGTTGTTCCTCATCTTATCTGCAAAGAAGCTGAAGACAGACTTCCAGGATTTAAATATTGCTTTACTGCAATATTGCTTTTTTAAGTTACCTAGTTCTTAAACCTAACCTTAGCACTTACTAATAAGTCTAAATGAAACTCCACCTTTTACTCGCCATCTTAAACCTTAACCTTAACATTTACCACTTAATCTAAGGCCCACTCTACCTTTTACTAGCGATCTTAACTTTAAACATAATCCAAGCACTTATGCCTGAGGTTCGACTGGAGGAATATCATCTCAACTATGTGTCACAAGCATCTGAAATTCTGAAAAGTTGTTTTCTGGTCTGCCAGTGTCCTCGTTTCTTTTGTTTTCAGAACAAGTGAGATAACCTGGTATAAAACTGCAGGAATATTCATAAAAAATGACAAAAAAATAAATCTTGATGATTTTTTTCACTTCCATACATATGACAAAACCTAAATTTCTTCAGCTTGTGTACAATCAAAGATATATCAGACTGGCATGCTTCATCAATAAATGTTTTAAGGGGCAGTTGTAAGACACTTGTATGCTTATTTCATATCATCCTTATAGAGAATTGATAACTCATTATAATGGTATTTTGAGTTAATTATTTCACAACTTAAGATTTATCATGTAGTATACTTAATGTAAACTTAAAAACTATAATAGGAAAAGTCTGTAATTGGAACTGCTTACCAAGCATGGCCAAGATGTGCGTGATCATACACAGTGGGGCCACAACTGTACCTTTAGAATGACACAAGTAAAAAGCGATGACAGAAAATAAAAAAAACGTCTTAATAATTTTAGGTTAGGTTTAACAATAACAATGCATAACAGTAAAATATCATAAAGAATACTATAAATAAAATACCAGGTAGCAGTTCCTTCTTTTGCCAGTATTAGAGATTCCTTTCTTTTGGTGAGGCTGTTGTACGTTTTAATGCCAGTGTCAAACCCAGTTGGTTTTTGCCATTTCCTCTCGGCTCCACTACTACAGTGCGAGTTAGAGCTGGTGTTGAAGGCACTTGAAGCGCTCTCAAATCTGCCGGGCAAACGACACTGTAACCTCCGATAATGACACTGCCTCAGATAAGGCAAGAAGCTCGGAATTAAGCGCATTCTCTTGGGGAAAAAAAAATGCCTGCGACAGTACCGTAGTCTTTGCTAATAGCATAGAGCTCAGCTATGCAGATGGACACATATATGCGACTCTCCCCTTGTGAAAGAAAAAAGTCCGTATTCACATGAGGTAGTAAACGCACAGATACAATTGCTCCCACCGAGTTCCGGATCGTGCTGTGGCGATGCTTACATCTCCATACGTAGTTATCACGCACCAGTGTTATTCATTTTGCACGACTGGGAGTTATTTTAAAAGCGTTTCATGACGACACTGCGAGGCTTGTTAAAATACAGCGAGTAAAAACGACTACATGCCCCCACGCTCTCTCGCATGGCTGCCAGCACTCCCTAAACCTGTTTCCTATTGGGCGGGGTCAAGCCAAAACTGTCATTGGGGAGGGCAGACAGTGTGTACCACCGACCTCCGGTTGTTTTTAAAATGGCTGTTGCACAGTAAGATAGTAGAGAACAGTCGTACACCGAGCCTGCAGGGGGAAAAAACGAGGAAGAGGAGGGACTAAACCTCTTACGCTATCAAACTTGAGCCACGATACGGGCAAATCACGCGAGAAGCGAGTAAATTGGGGGAAAAAAAAGAGGGGACAGTTCGAGCATTTATTAATAGTGCATATTTCGCCGACTGTAGGGGAGAAATTAAAATGTAACCGAAGAAAGTTATCCTGACGTGTTCTTTCGTCTGTCTAGGTCAAACAGCCCTTTTGACCGATTAGTTATTAAGGTTTAGGGTACCTGGTAATGTACGACAAACATTCGTTATTTTAAAGAAAAGTTTTTTTTTCAGTAGAGTTGCAAGGATGTACAAACGTCTCTTCAGGACACCGATTAATATAACCTTCTTGATTGAGTGGAGTTTATGTTCGGACTTTTCCCCGGCGTAAATACGTTTTTTCACAAACTAGTTGAAATGTTCCCATTGTGTAGCACCCTAAATTTAAACCTCCACATAGAAAACCCTGAAGAATATAACATCATCACATCTCTCCTGACGTTTAGCTTTGTAACTTGATGTAAATCTTAAGTTAAATCTATACATTTTAATTGCACGCATTGTTCCATAATTTTAATAACTTACGGTTTGGATAATAAAGCAGTTTATTTCACGTTTACCGTCACGTTTTTGAAAAAAAAACAATAGATTTTGTTTAACTAGAGTTCGTAGCAGCATGCCCCCACATTGTCACACAAGATCTTTAGACGAACATAGGGATACGAAAATTAAGTTGTGAAAATATCTGTACTGTAAGTCATTTTAGAAATCGAGTCAACTACTGGGTGGAAACTTAATGCGTCACACGGAAATGGCTGCCGCAACTCTCCGGTTCTTCCTTTTTATTTCCTAATTCTATAAAAATCTCTAGTTTGGAAATGTACTTAATAAACACCCTAACTGTTTATTTTGTGTAAATGCTTAGGCTGTAAATTCAAGCACGAAACACACCATAGTACAAAAAATGACCCAAACTTCCTCTATCTCTGCTTCAGCTACTTCCCCATGTGTTGCTATGAGAAACGGCACACGCGTACTAAATAGTCCCGCCTACCCTCTGGGTCTGATTGGTCATTGGTCGTGACGTAACACAATTCGAGCCGGCTCCTACGCGTTTCATTGGCTGACCGTTTTTTCCTTCCACCATTCGTCCTTTTCCGCTTCGAGAGCGAAAGGGAGATTCAAGTATAAAAATGAAGAAAATTTCATATAGGGTTTTGAACGTCAGTTTGTCTGAAATCCATTGGCCGCCTGCGTAACGTATTCTTTGAGGTGCTCTAAGAGATCGCGGCGAAATTGCCCGCTTGCCAGTTCTGTCACTTAAACAAAATTTCTCCGACTCTCAACCCTTACGTTCAAACCGATATCTTTTTTTTTTCCTATAACTTTCTTTTTTCAGCATAACGTGACGCTACCCAGCACATCCTTCACAACCCATAAAGTAGAAGCAGGCACGCGAACAGAGAAAATAGCGTAAACATGTAGAAATAAAACTCCCAGGCACGAAAAAAAAGGCGGCTTTGAAGAGGGCATATTTGCTGAAGTAGGCTACTTCGAGCTCTTGTCAGGCAGCTTGTTGAAAAGGTGCCCCCCCCATTATTCCCAAACACGCAGGGAGGTGGGCATGTATGCCCTATTTTTTTTATGAACACGTTATTGAAAACGAATACCGGAATCGTGGTATCTAGTGTTACGGGGGTCCAATTCGGAGCCGAGCCTGGGCTCATGAATATGCAGATGGCGCTGGCCGGAGCCGCGCCTGCGCACTGCGCGCCCGAGTGTTTCCCAAGTGTTTGAAACTGGTATTTGGTTTTCCACGTTGGATCAAGTGCAGGGGCAACACAGGTACTAGTCGCCGTGGGTTTGTTTTTTTCGCCGAAAAGAGAAGCAGAAGGAATTCCCACACTACGGTGCTTGATTTGTGTTGGGGGTTTTTTTTTTCCATATTTGAACCTCTCCTCTGTTTGGGAGAGGAGGACTTTACAAACGTAAGTGACCCCATAGGCTGTTGCCTGACAGCCATTCAATCTGTTTCTGCGCTGCAGCGAAGGATATTTTGATCTTTCTGCCGTCCTCCTCACCCCCCCCAAAAAAAACAACTAACAAAAAAGCAAATGTAGGTTTTCCTGGATTTCGGCGGAGTCTGATTTACTGGGAGGATAAAAATGCTGAGCCCTGCCAACGGCGACCCGATCCACGTTGCTAACTATGTGGAGGAGTATTTAGACTTGGTCGAATCGTTGCCTTTCGACTTGCAGCGAAATGTGTCGCTGATGAGGGAAATCGACGCTAAATACCAAGGTAAGCTTCTGATTTATTTTTATTTATTTTTTTAGTGCAGTTTGTTCAGTAATTTCCTCCGACCCCGGCTGAAAGCAGCCTTCAATTGCGAACAGCGGTCTAAATCGTCAAAACCGCGGGGCGGAACAAAAGATTGCCAAGCTTTTAAAAATGCAGTTTTCTCGAAACAGCCAAATGCTACGCTGTTAAATAAAAGAGCGAAGAAGCGTTAACTTTATGTGGGTGAATGCTCCCTGCGAAATCGTATTTTCAAGAGCTGGAACAACAAAGTGAAGATTAAGCACAACAGCATTTAGGAATGTACAGTGTTCGTGGTGGCTGTTGGTTGTGTAAAATTGGTGTTTGTACTGCTGGGGTAGGGATTTTACTCCCCTTTTCCTTTAAAAAAAACATCCGATTGTCAGTTTTAACATCGATTTCGACCGTCACGTACGATTTTACAGTTGTTTACGTCAATTTATAGCAACTTGGGATTTTAAAGCAGTTATTTAAAACTGGTTTTACTTCCTATGTTTTCACGACTGTCATTATCATTAGAAGTTTAAAGAAAATCGACTCAAAGCAGGAAAGATGGGCTCATGAGCTTCTGAAAGCACGTATAGGGGGTTATTTAAAGCCGCGTTTTTAAAATCGGTAGTAGAAGAGTAAGGTATTACTACAGTGATGCAAATCTTACATGTAGATTCAGCGCGCCCAGTCTTGTGGAAGATTGTTTTTCATATGAAAACAAGCAAAACATAATGCTTCCCTTATAGTTTAGAAAACTGCACGGTTTTTAAAAGAAGAGTGTCCACCGAAGAGATACCGTATTTATAGCCACAGTCATATTGAGATTTTTTTTGTCTGAACCGGTTAAGATGGTCCGGAAATTCACTTTTTATTGAAAGACCGAGCGGTTTTGAAGGCAAGGGAACTGTTTTACTTAGTGTTTATGCATTTCATATCCTCATTAAAAGGCAGTTTTTACAGCGGTTATGCTACATTTGTGGTCTAGACGTGCAGTATACTCCCTTTTCTCCGTGACTGCGCTCACCGCGCTTGGCGACAGTGTCGTCTTTGGCCCTTTAATATACACCGGGTATATTTGCATATTAGGCGTTGCTCGAGTTCTCGCTTCGTGATGATTGGAGGGAAAGCGTAACCCAGCCCCTCCTTCGCCTAGCGTCTGTCATGATTGGTTGTAGTGTTTATTTGATCGTACGCGACCGCCCAGTGTTGCGGCGCATTAAATGGAGGAGGTCACTGGACAGTTGAGGTTTCAATTGGCTGAATTATTGCACTAGGAGGCGGTGCTTGACTGTTCCTCGAGTGCCTATTGGTACAAGTTGACTGTCGATCAAGTATCTCGCTCTGCCCTTTTCCCGAAAGAACAATGGGTTTCCTCAGGATTAGGGGAGGGTTCAGTCTCCTTTGCAAGCTGTTAACAGCGCTTAACCGCACTCCATACTTCCTTTCGTGTCTTTTCCTTTGATGAGGTTTTGCTGCAGACATGGTTACTCTTTATGGTTGTATTTTAATCACGTGTGCCGCTAAACACCGTTGCAGAAAGGCTTTCCTTTCAGATAATTTATTTGTACGTTGTCCTTATAATCGTCACAGCCGAGGTGCTTGAGCAGTTTTTACACTTCAGATATTCCCAACAGTTTAAGAAGCCAATGCGGTGTCTGCGACAGGTTTCTTTGAATACTATGCATGCAGGTAGCGGACTAATGTGAAGTCCATTTGTAGGGCATTTGACCACCGTGCGCAGCCTGTCCGGCCCGGAGGCTCTGTGGCTTCCTGTATCCAGAATTCTGCAGGACTCGTCCAGGAGAAAGTCAGTCAACTCACACCTGGCTGGTGGAGGTGGAAAACGCCGTCTTAGGCGTCGCTGCCGAAATGTCTTGTCAATGCTAGATCGTCAAAACGGGTGACCGAGAAGACCCCGACAAGTGATTAACATCAAGGTCATGCCCATTTAACTGCTGGGCGACCACACGCGTTCTGTGGACAGAAGCAGTGTCATTCTGGAAGAGACACAACCTGCAGGGGTGAAGATAATCATTCAGTGCCATTAAACAGAGACTGGCGTACTGATCTCCAGGTTTAAACACTGCTGGGGGACTGTACTGAATAGCGCCTTCATCTGTTCAGATCGGTGGCCACTGGTCTCTCACACCTGCAGTGCCAGGTGTGATGAGTGGTATCTGCTGTTGTAGCTCATTGTTTGTGCTAGTGCCTGGAGAACAGCAGTGGAGCAGCCTGTCCATTCGAACTGGAAGATGTCAGTTCAGCCCTCAGCATCACTTCCTTTAGACAGAAGTACTGTAGTGTTTTTACAGGGAAATGGGCTGAAGGAGGGTTTATAGTGGGTTTTATTCCTTCCATAAAATGAAGGAATCTCTAATTAGATATAAGACACAGGTATGTTTATATATATATGTGTGTGTATATATGTCTTTTTAATATTGTCCTTTATGTTAGGAATGTATACTTGATTTTACAGAAAACATTTGACAAGCTATATGACAAGCAGCTACTCATTACATTGAAAGGAGTGTGAATTTGGGGTGCTTTGAGTGAATTTAAAAGCATTTTTTTAAGTGTCTTTAATGTAAACATACAATACCAGTATAATATACATCAGATGTTAACCTGCGTTAGATTAGATTAACCTTTACTGTGGCCTAAACCACCCATAACTCTTAACTCCTCTTCAACAGGTTGTGAGCTCTATGTATAACACCCTATAAATGCGTGAACGGCTGTCATCCATTTCTGCAGTGTTTTTACATGGCCAGCCCTAAGCTGTGACTGACATCACATGACCTCAGGATGCCTGTCTGTCTGTGTTGCTTATGTCTGTTGTTTTCTGGGTGTTTCAGAGATCCTGAAGGAGCTGGATGAAATCTATGAGAAGCACAAGAAAGAGGGAGATCCGGTGCAGAAGAAGAGACTGTTGCACTGCATCCAGAGAGCACTGATCCGCAGCCAAGAGCTGGGGGACGAGAAGATCCAGATTGTCAGTCAGATGGTGGAGCTGGTGGAGAACAGGAGCAGGCAGGTGGAGGGTCACGTGGAGTTTCTGGAGGCCAGCCAGGAGCCCAGCGAGAGCCTGGTGGTCCCGGGCAAGACGACCCAGGAGAAATCGAGAAGCGAGACAGTGGGTGCCAACGAGAAGTCCAGCAACAAGAGGTCCAGGAGGCAGAAGAACAACGAGAACCGAGAGAACGCCAGCAACAACCTGGATCACGGGGACGAGATCAGCACAGGGACCCCCAAGGAGAAGAAGGCCAAGGCGTCGAAGAAGAAGAAGCGGTCGAAAGCCAAAGCCGAGAGGGAGGCCTCTCCTGCCGACCTGCCCATCGACCCCAACGAGCCCACTTACTGCCTGTGCAACCAGGTGTCGTATGGGGAGATGATCGGCTGCGACAACGACGAGTGTCCCATCGAATGGTTTCACTTCTCCTGTGTGGGACTCAACCACAAGCCCAAGGGCAAGTGGTACTGCCCCAAGTGCAGGGGGGAGAACGAGAAAACCATGGACAAGGCTCTGGAGAAATCGAAGAAGGAAAGAGCTTACAACAGGTAGTGAGTTACCCACCAGGGTCCTGGGCAGAGACTAAGTCGAGACGCGCGTTTTCACGGTGAGGGTCGTTGTTCAGCGGGGCAGGGGGCTGGAAGGGTTGGGGGATGGCGCTTTTGTCCAGAGGTTCCTAGTTGGTCAAGCCTTTCCCTGTAACCTCACAGGTGCCGGAGAAAAGGAATGGGAGGGGGCAAGTCTATCAGTTAATCAACAGCAGCAGTGTTAGTATCTTGAACGCCTCGGCGAAGAGTGAACGAAGAATCCTGCAACCTGGAGTTTGCCCATTTTGATTCCGGGGTGTGCCGCTCGCCCGCTCGGGAGTTTCCGCCTCTGAAATGCCTAAAATGACCCAGGGTTCGGTTGCAGAAGAGCAGACCAGGGGATTCCCAGCTTGCCTTGCTGCAGTGACTCCTTTCGGTGACAGACTGCCAGCAGGGGCTGTGGGATTCAATGATCGGCACTGAAGCTTAGCTATTTCTGCTCTGCTTCTGCAAGGTGAAGTGAACTGCATTTCATCAGCACCTTCCAGAGGACATTTCCTTTGGCCGAGTTTGGGTGTAAAAGGACAAGTAGGGTAACAATTTGGCGATCCAAAATACCAGTATAAAAGGAAGCAAATTCAAAAAGCAAGCAGTATTTGGCAACTTTTTCAAGATTTGGGGGGAAAAAATGATTTTTTGGGGGGAAAAAAGAGATGTGGATTCTAAAACAAGCTTGATTCCTAACATTGTCTTCCACATGCTACTGTTTGTATTAATTAATTAGATCTTCCCTCCTCTGAGTAGATGTTAAGCTGTGATTCACTGTATTTTCTTTTGTCACAGGAGTGCTTTCACTTTTTAAAGAAATATTTACAAAGCAATAATTCCACACCAACACCAATCTTTTTTCTTTTCTGTTCTAAAAAAGCGTACCGAGGAGTTAAATTATTTTGAAATGCCAACACTGTTATGAAGTGGTTTCTGCAAATCTGTCTAACTTCAACTATTGCTGCATTTGTGGTCAGTATTTTTTTTTTAAATAAATTTGAGTTAACCCACCTTTGCATTTTCCTTTCCCCGGTGTTGAACAACCAGTTCAGACTTTAGCCTTACCACACCAACAGCTAAGATTTACTCATGACAAGTAAACATCCAAAGGCAGAGCAGTCAGACCATTTGCCTGTGCTGTCCTGTGTAGGACAGGAGAGGTTAGGAACGAAGTTGAGTCCCTGAAGGTTTGCTCTTTTTTCAGCGCCATGTGGGTGAGTAGGGGAGCAGTACATCAGTATTTCTGAGTGCGTTTGGGGGATTACCTCATTATTTTGTCATAATCGAAAAGGAAATCCAAAGGGTACTTGTAGAGACTACAATTTTTTGTCCCTGACACTATTTAGCCAGGCAGATAAAGAAAATGAAATGAAGAATGCACTCCTTTATTTCTTTTTTCCCCGAATAAGCGCTGCTTATTTTCGGGGTCTTGAGCAAGACTGTATTTTCTCGTTTGTGACTAGTCCTGCTTAGGCAAGTGAACAAAAAATAAACATCTAGGAAGTGAAGATATGAATAACACCCCTTTAATTTAATGAAAAGATCTCTTGTAGATTGCAAAGCTATAATCACTTAATTTTTAAAGCTGTAGCTTTTATGGGTTTTCTACAAAAAATGAAAGAAAATGTTGCAGCAATAATTTGATGTTGAAGGTTTTATTGTAGGATGTTTTTCCTTATTTCCTTGCACACTATTTCTTTTTTATTTTTAATGTGAATTACATGAGTATCGATATGTTGTTTTTTTAAATTTAGGACTTAGGACTTCAAATATTTTCTGTAATATTGAAAAGAATATTGGTATAATTAAAAAAGTACATTTTTGCACTTCTGTGTTTTTAAAGTCCAGCTGGAAGCATTGTGTGTAATTTGAGTTACGAGCGCTTTAGTATTCAAAATGTACAGATGTGATACTATAATTAAAAATATCACTTTATGAAATGTTGTCTCTGCTCTGTATTTTTCTCTGAGGGAGTTTCTCTGAAGTTCTGAAAATCCAGTCTTCAGGCTCTGTACTGGAGTCCACCAGACAGCAGTTGAAGCAGACTGTAGGTAAAATTAGGCCACAAACTCTCCAAGTCTTTGGAAAATTATAGATTGTGATGCATCTTCAGGACAAATGAAAATCATGGTTATTAGATCTATAGCAACTAAAAGCAAGCCCATATCTGGATCTTCTTAAGTGCAGTAAAGCAAACATTCTTCTTTTGAAACGTCTTCCTAAAATTATAAATGGTCTTTTCCTTTCAAAATGATTAGGCTCCTTAAAACACCTTTAAATACAACTTTGTATAAACCACAAATCAGAGCCAGGCAGCACACGATGGACAATTTTGTCCTGCAGGCTGTTTATTTCAGGGTGTTCCTGATCCCCCTTAAGTGCTAGCGAGGCGTAGGAGGACTGATTCACATTAATCTCCTGAACTACAGGGAATCTCAGAGCCAGGGTTGAGACCAGGCCAGATCAGTCGCGTAGTGGGGTTTAGTGCCATATGTACAGTGGAGTTCTCATAACATGCATAGTATGGACACACAACACCACACAATTGTAGACAGTACATTGCAAAACGGTACTAATAGTAACAACCAGAACAATAAATTCATTATAGAGAACGATAACTATGTGGAAGTGGAAAAAAAAACATGGCAATTCAAGTCAAAAGTACATAGTGCAGAGGTGCGTTGACTTCTGAGGCATTACACAGTTAGCTGTTAAGGATGTGTGCTGCAGTAGGGCAGAAGCTGTGCTGAAGGCTAGCGGTCTGTGCTTTAATTGTAGGGTCCTTGCCAGAGCGCAGGGAGGAGAAGTTTGTGGCCAGGATGGTTGGGGTCCTGAATGATGGATTAGGCTTTATAACCACAGCAGACGGTGTGAATCTCACCTAAGAAGATGTCGCCTTTTAGTAATATTCTTTAATATGGTTGGACAAGGAGGATGCAGCACCTTCCTGTGCTTTCGTGAAAGACCGTGGATTCTGTGATGAGTGGTCCTGCTTCACAGAGGTGCGCAGAGCTCACACAAAGTGCTTCGGCTTGTTTGCTAATCCATCTACTCCTGATGTGCGCTGCGTGATTTACAAATGCTGTGGATTCGCTTGGAACCTCAGAGGAACCAAGAATGTCAGCATTTTTCTGACTGTTTTTTCTTTTAAAAAGAAGTCCTGTATCCCTGGTTAGGAGTTCTTACATTTTTGTGAGCAACTTTTTTCTTTCAGAAAGAACATTAAAATGTCCAAACGCAGAACACAGCTGTCTGATGCACATCTTACTGCAATCAAATGCTCAGGCCATGAAGCACAATATCAACCAACTGACAAGACAGGGCTGTTTAGCAGGTGTCTGACAAATTCAATCTGACAGACCAACTATAAAATTAAAATTTTCCCTAAGAAATTTGAATCTAATGTTTTTAGAAACATCTTCAGTGACATTAGTGGTATGAGCATCCCATGAGAATTTGAAAAACACAAAAACGAGTGCGAGACCCCTAGCCCTAGTGTCCCTATGTCTCCCTCTAGTGGGTTATACCTGCAGACACAGCTCCAAGAGACAGCTGCTGTGCAAGACAGGATTATTGTAAAACAAAGGTAGATCACTGTCACAATTATTTGATAATGACACTTATTGAGAAGATACACTTCTGGAATCAATCTATTCACAACAAGTCACACAGCTTTGGGATTTGTTCAGAGAGATAAGAATGTCCTGTGTAATTCACCAAATGTGGATATAAGGTACAGGCTAGTAAAATGTAATGTATTTCGAAGTATTCTTCCTTCAGTAGAAAACCGCACTCTGTGATCTGGAAAGAAACAAATATGAACAGGATCTTTATCCATGTTATTTCTCTCTTTACATTTCGCACCTTTGGTACTTTGATGGTGTTTATTACAAAATGTTGAGCATATGGTATGATAACTGATTTTGTAAATGGTTTTGCGCTGTAGGAATCTGAAACATATGTACGACAGCTGACATATTGCTACAGCTTTAAAACCCAAAATATTTACATTCTCAATTTACTCGGTAATATGTTGTTAGGTCATTGAAAATTAAATCTACAGTTTTTCAAGATATGTGGGAACCCGAATCACATGAGTCATGAATAAAGAATCAGATCTCAGGTGAAACTTTGGATGTTTTCATTTTGGATCAAACCTGGAGTATTTTATATTGTGGTTTAAAATCATAGAAATATGCCATTGGATTATCAAAAAATCCATGTGATCTTACAATAATGAAAATACAAAAAATATAATGGATCTTAAAATCCTATTCTGGCTTTTATGACTAACAGCTAATGACATCTGGGATTTTGTGGATAGTCCTGTTTCTAAATAATCCCTTTTGTTGATGTCTCAAGATGCAAAGTAAGAGTGAATGGGTGACTATCAGATGTGTTTGAGGTAAAGACTGGCATCAAACACAGAGACTGCCTGTCCCTATTGCTATTCAATTTAGTGTTAGAAAGACCCATAAGGAAAGTCACAGAAATGGAAACAGGAATTAAGTTTGGCAGAAAGATCAATATTTTAGCCTACGCAGATGATGTAGTCCTCATATGACAAAGCGAACAAGAATTAAGAGACATGACAAGGGTTTTAGTGAAGGAGGGCAAAGGAGTGGGTCTAGAGATCAATGTTGATAAAACTAATACCTCCCTGTAAGTAGATGAGGAAATACAAGTGCATCTGTGGAAGCAGAGGGAATGTCCTTCGGGAAAGTGGAAGATTTTAAGTATTTGGGAGGAGAAGTTCAAGAGAAAAATAGTATAGAGGGAGAAATAGCGAAAATTCAGGCTGGAAATAGATCAAGATTTGCTATGGGGTAAACGATGAAGTAAAAACTGCTGTCATGACCAACAAAAATTCGGATTAACAGTACAAGACATTAATCCAGCCAGTAATACTGCAAGGTTCAGAGTTTAGGACTCTCCCTAAAAAGATGGAGAGGAAACTCATGGGTTTGGAAAACAGTGTCTTAAGACAGATTTAAGAACCAGTGAAAGAAAATGGAGAAGAAGGAAAAACAGATAATTAAAATAGCTTTATAAGGACCCTGATATTGTAACTACTGTCAAAAGAAGACTACGGTGATATGGCCATGTAATGAGAAGAGATCAAGACCTAATAAAAGAGGTAGTAGGACAAAATATTGTACGCATGGGTGTACACTAAACTTACACTGCAATTTGACTTATCGCGCCCTGGGAGACAGAAATAGTTAATATAAACCACAAAGACAGAACTAACAAAAATAAGAAACCTAAAAACATGAATCGTCTTCGGAGTCAGGTTAATCCACTTTCCAAAAATAGTCCTCCCAGCTACAGCAGCGGAAAATAAAAGACTTTACTAGTTATTACTCTTATGTTTTTTAACTGTTTTTCGTGAAGAATTTGATGCAACAACAACTGGTTTTAGAGAAAATTTCTCTTTGAGATTGATTTGTACACCAGAAAGCCATTAGACGTCTTGTTCAGTAATCGATAGAAATATTTCATACTGTATGCAATTGCCCGACACGGCGTAACAGACGAAATGTAAAAATGTTCTAGTATTGCAGCGAACGGCCCTACACCCTTGTTTCACCAGGTGGACTGCAGCACAAAGCAGGACGGAGACAGGAGCCCTAGTTCCTGCACCAGGGGGTTTATTGTCCTTTAGTTTAATGCGGGAGTGCTGCCAAGAGAGAGAGAGAGATAAAAGGAAACACAGAGACAGAGGGGTCGCAGTCTACCGTAACAAGACTTGTCGAAAGGAAAATGGGGGAACCTTCTCCTACAGGGCGATGCAGGAGGAAAAAGACTCAGTCAAGGTCAAGTTTGAGAGGAAGCGGGACGGTACAGCACGTTTCAAATGTCTTTTTCAACCTAGGTTAGCGCTGTACAACGCTATATATATACATCCTTGGTAGGTTAGTCCTTTTCCAGTGTACGTGAAAGAAGCGCTATTTATGCTGTAACCGGGGTAACGCCGTAAAAAGCTTAGTTCCCTTATTAATCTTACGTAAAGATCGGTGGGATAAGAGATAACAAAAGGACGTCTTCTTGTTTCCTGTCATTTAAACCCTTGCCTCAAGCAAAAATGGTAACCGTGGCTCAGATGTAATTTTAAAGCCTGCCTTTTCAGGGCTTGATTGTGGCTCAGTAGGCCTACAGTATGAGGTTTAAAATAGAGTTGGTGCTCATACACGGCTGAATATTGTAGTGTTTCATTTTCGGCCACGCCTGGGGTTGGCGGCTGTGCCCCTTTTCTGCTCTCAAAAAGCGCTTCTGGAAATCACATTTGTAAGTAACCATGTATTTTTACTGTACATATCAGCTCCATTCCAGATGTTCAAAAGCGTCACCGCTAATTTGATGGTATTTAAATATTAAGAAGTTAATTTAAGGTGTTGAGTGATAAGAGGTAATGTGACCGTGATTGTTTTTAAATCTGTTCATCTGTGGCGTTTTAGTCTTCCAGTAAAAAAAAGTACACGTTAACGGTACTTTTGTTTTGTTACCTATCGTCATTTTAATTAGTATATAACTGTAAAAAATCCAACCATGGTATTTACACGTCTCGAACCTTTATCTTCGTGGAGATAAATAATTTCTGATCATTTTAGTAAATCCGACTTGCAAAATGCACTGCACTGGTATCATTGAACACGGTTAGCTTTCACAGTGTGAAACTAAATCAGTATGCAATTCAGCTGTTACAAAAACATACCTAGTATACGGAATGTTTTTTTTTTCAGTTGCCAGTAGGTTAAGACATATTCTAAAATAAAAATACATTTTGCAAAAGCTCCCCGTTTTAAAAACGGTTGCTTGTCCCTTTAAAGTATTATGGTCGTTATTCCTCTGCATTTGATTATCGAGCCGAAGATCTTAATTGCCACTTAGAATAGACCTACATGTGAAGAACGAGCTATGAAGTCTTCATAGTCAAGATTCAAAGAGACCTAGAATTAACATTTTAAAATGAAAAAACAGAACATTGGGAATAATGTTTATTATATTCAAACAATGAAAACGGATACAGAAGTCATACAAAAAGGAATGCAAGGACACCACCCATTCTATAAAAGCGAGCATAACCAAACATCACAACATAGAACCATTTTAAGTGCGGGAACATAAATGTATCTCATTTAATGCTTAAAAAAAATCTGCATAAATGGAAGCAGTATCTCAATTAATCTAGAAATGCTTGTATTGCAAGTGATAACTGCAGCTATTTGAGTCAGTGTTGGCACAAACAAAAATCGTATTCAGTCCAAACTTTCGATTCACCTTTTCCATACTTAAACCACAGCATCCAGAGTCATCGCGTTCACACTTGTGAATAGTTAAATCAAAACCACTCAAAGCATTTAAATCATACATTTCAATGACCATAGCGTTGATAAACCAAATAAAGCGTCTCATTTTACGTTGATGTCCCTTTTATGCTGGATTTCAGCGATTCGAATTCCCTTATCTTCGAAACAGAACTACTCTATAAAATAAATGAGATCTTAAAAAAAAAAAAGCCCGCCAAAACTTCCCTTTTGTAACTCGGGAGGTTGGCTTGTGTTTGTTTCTTTTTACTCTTTACGCGTCAGCCATGTAAGTCAGTTGAAGCACTGCCCTAGTAAAGGAACAACGACATCTTAACCCCAAGGTCAAGAAGGGATGACAGACTAGTCATGGAGGTGACTGACTGGCTGCTTTTTAAGAGCCGTGATAAAGGTGCAGCGTGCTGAAGACCGCGTGATCATACCGCTGCTCCACTTTCATCGATCGGCTGTGCTCCACCTGGCTGCTGGCTTCAGGTATGTTCTCCGCGGTGTCTCCAAACCCGTGGTAATGTCCGTATTGTAGACTGTCGCCAAGATCCCCTGGCTCCGGATTAGACGCTGCCCAAGAAGGCCTATGAGCCACACAGCTGCTGGGGCTTCCGCCCAGATGCAGAGATCCGCACATATCGGAGGGCTTCGAGCGGGTTTCGGCATCGGAGCCGGGGTGGGAGAGGAGGACGGGCGACCCGTTCCCAGCGGAACCGATCAGCGCCGGCCCCCATTCGGGGGGAGAGCCATTCACCACGCCTGGAATTGGCTTGACATTCCCTCCGTTGGCTTGGGGTGGGTGGAAGAGCCCCTTCGCAGCGAATCCGTTGCCCATCAGATCTCCCCCCGGCACGCCACCGTTCCTCAGGCCTGTGGGCACAGGAACACCGGCCGTTCAAGAACAGAAGCGGATCAATCGCATTCATCTTAAAACACGAGGGGCACGTGGCTGCATATCGCGACACCTCAGGAGTGTCAATTAATTGGATTGCAAGCCCGAAGGACCACTCGGGAGATGATTAAATGGCAGTGGGCTAAGATACAAACATTTCCATCACGGCGTCGGGAGTTCAACAGGGCAAGGTTACATCAGAGGCCTACAGTCTGGATTTTAGTTCTGGTTTTCACAGTATCCAATTTAAAAATGATAGTTTTTTATTTTGTTGCTCATTTTAAGAGCTGTCAAATAAGCATCCAAGAATATTCAGCAACTTTCAGTTTGACTGCTTTAGTTTTTTTGTAACCTGTCGTGCCCATTTGTGGTGCAAATTCAAAGAGTTAGTTTTCCCATCATCCATCTCAGCTGCACGAGGATTTCTATATTAAGTTGCATTCATGAAAATGTGCCTTCATTCACTTTACATTCAAGGAGTTCCTGCACTGTTGTTTTACTGTTCTTAAAGGCAAACTTATAGGCAAAATCAATAAATTGGCTAACAGATCCAGATTCCTTGTTAATATTATTGAACACTGTTGCATCTTCAGCACAGTGGGTAAAAAATCCATTTGGAACTATTCTGGTGACAGCCCTTAAAGGAATAATGGGTTCTTTGGGCTGTTACTACATAAAACAGTTTTCACTTTACAAGAGAATCATCTAATTCCTTTTTGGGAAGACTTTCCAAGAAGAGTTTTCTCAACTACTGATCCACATCAAACCTATGCTATTTTCCGTTTTCATCAGCAGTCCTGGGAAAGTTTAAAATACACCTTTGACATCTATAGTTATTTATAATATTTATAAGGAAGAAAAGGCATGATATTTTGGGCGTTTTTTACAGCTATCAACAACGTCACATGACGAAACGTAACATTTTCATAAGAGGTCTCCATATTGTTGAAATTGATAACATGTCTAAAATATGCTGAGAAGGGTTTTAGGTATTTTAGAATTAATCTAATGACATTTGATTAAGGATCAATTAAATTTCTAGTGCACTTACTAACTAAAACTTACATTAACTAAAGATACATTGAATGTGTCAAGGGCAAGAACCTTGAAATCATGTGAAAGTTTTCTTAAATTTAAAATAGTTTTAATTTGTTTTAAAGCAATGTTAAATGTAGTTTTAGAATTTATATAAATCTATTACTTGAAATCACTTCACATATATGAATAGAATATTAAAAATATTTATCAAAAAAGGCTGTAGTACTTACATACAATTGTGTAATCCTGTGACAAAATTAGCCTTCCTCAAGCAAACGCTAGTCCACAATCAAAAGATTGATATAAATGTATAGATGCAATTCCGCACAACACACAGTAGAGGGCGCAATTCAACAATGAATGTTCTAATAGGTAAGTATGAAGTAAAATGTGAAGCTACTTTCTGTAGTTTTTTATTTGGTTTTTGAGGATTAAGACCACATACCTATTTAGTACTAATACCAGACATAGACATTATTCGCTGTTCCTCCCTTCTACACATCTTGTGAATTCATCTTCGTATTTGAAAGTGGTTATGTTTAAAAAACATCTTTAGACATCTGGACCTCTAACTAGGGGTGGAGAGGAGAGGGGTAATCAAAGTAAATTATCCCCTTATTATAGAAACTGATTAAGAAAGGGTTTTTGACATAAAAAGACCAACTCCAAACACATGCACTTCATTTAACAGTGGTTCATGTTCTTTTCAATTTATACTGAATAAATCCTTTAAATGCTAAACATTGTTTCATCCACCCACATGTAAGTACTGCAGTAAGTACAGCACTTTGACAAGTTTGGAATTTTCAGTATAATATCCTAGTGCTTTAAAAAAAATGTTGTCCATTTTATTTAACAATTATTAGCAAAGACTGGGAAAATATAAAATAGGTTAAAAATTACAACTTTATTACTATTACCATTTCATATTACTAGTAATCTGAATGTCATTAAATGCCATTACATAGCTTGACTTTTTCATCCACAATTCCCTAGCAGATCCCATCCATTTAAATATTGGGAAAGACAGCTCTACATCGGGGAGGTGCAGTGAAAAATGTCATCTTCAACAATAGAAAAATTAAATATTAGAGCAACTTTGATGTGACTACTTAAAGAAATCAGGTGTTCACTTTACCCACTTGGTAGAGCGAATGGTGAAATAAATCATCCATTTCCTAATCGCTTTATCCAATACAGGGAGCCAGAGCCTATCATGGCAAGCAATGTGCACAAGGCAGGGTACGCCCTGGATGGGACACCAGTCCATCACAGGACAGGGGCAGACACACACACCAGGGCCAATTTTCCCAGAAGCCAGCTGACCTACCAGTATGTCTTTGAACTGTGGGAGGAAACCCATGCAAAGGCAAGGAGAACATACAAACTCGATGCAGATAAGAGTCCCAGGTCCGGAATTGAACCCGGAGCCCCAGCACTGCAATGCTAACCTCTGCAACCAGAAGTGATGGAGAACCTGAAGCATTGGACAGAGCATAGAAGTCTGCTTCATTGCAAGAGGCACCCAGAATACTGGTGATTGTGCTGTTTCGTGTGCCATGGTATCGGTCAACATATCCTTGCGTTAGCAACATAACTAGTCTCCCCCCCCAAAAAAAGAATTTGTACAAAAAAAACAGGATTAAATGTTCCCATTACCACAAGTAAAAGGAAATCCAGTCTGTGTTGGGGTCTTCAGTTTCAGAAAGATAAAACCTAAAGTAGCTCATACATACACCTTTAGATAAACATATAAAAATTGTCTGCATATCAAAGGACAGTGCAGCAAATCAGCCCACATACAGCAGTGTAGAAACACTTGTAAGTAAGCATACACTTGCAGCCACCCAATCTGGTTCTCAATGTGTTTTACATTTAATAGTTTTTTACAAGTACAAAGCGTTTTAATTGGAAGCCCACATGCTGTACATTGGAACTAATGCAGTTAAGTGATAAATATGTTATAGGTGAAATATCATTACTAGTGACCAAAATCAGAACACCCAGTATTTAAAGCTGCAAGCTATAACTTCATGCATGCAAAACTGGAAAGTATTCAGTAACAAATCATTGATTTATTGTGCACATTATCAGAGACAAAGTTATTGTAACTTACATGCAATAAAAAGTTTCTCTGCTTCCAAAACAGATGTTGTAGATTGCTTTATCATAGACATGTAACTAAATTTCATGTCATGTCTTTATTAGCACTTTAAAATACATAGTATGTACATTAATATATTGACTATAGAAACTATTATGTAAGAGAATTTAAAATTTTCCCTTCATTACACAACACTAGTAATGTGCAACCTAGTTGCAAGAAACATTTTTCCCTCTAAAATGAATTATGTTAATGAAAATCATTATTCAGAAATGACTCTGAAGCCTGATCATCAACAAAGTTTATCTACAGTAACCTGCTTAATCTAACAGAGCAATGAAATCAGAATCACTAGTACCAGTTTACAATGCTATAAAGACTTTGATGAACTAAATTGGATGTTAAAAGAGAAGATTACTTTTTTCCATTCATTAACATGCATGCTTTGACTACCCTGGAATAGAAAATACTTTTTAGGAATATGATTTAGGTATTCAAAGTCATTAAAGGAGTTCACAAAGTGAACCTAAACAACTAGTTCAGCTTCAGCAATGAATCTAGAGAAAGAGGACACAAATGGAAATACAAGTGTATTTAGGACAGAATATAGGAACCATCTCTTACATTAGCAAGTCTGTAGAACAAACTACCTCACCACAGAAAATCAAAGTTAATGGAATTTGTCAGAAGACAGTTTGAGAAGAAAAGAGTCTTTGTATCACTCAGTGGCAACCAAAAAGCTGTTTTGAAAGATGCACCAACTGGAATGTTTTCACCTTTACAGCGCTTCGGAAAAATGCTGCACTGCACAAATGCATGTCCTATGGAAGCTTTAGGCCTTAATATTGGGAGGGATCATTTTTACCCAGTTTACTGGAAAAGCACTTCATTTTGGTAACTGTAAAGAAGCATTCATGTGCTGAAAGCAGTATGTACTGTAGAGACAAGTTATTATATTCTTAAAATGAGAAATAAATGTTATATACATAAAATAAGTGTAGCTCATTTAAGAAAAATGTCTATTCAACAGTAACTCTTTTGAAGATATTTCCATGTTTGTTATTTGACATACCAAACAAAAATACAGTAATCAAAAGATCAATGAAGCACAACAGGGGAACACTTTGCCAACTTTACATACAATAACAGCATATTTCAAATATTTAATGAAGCAATATAAATGTGTTTGGTTTAATCAGACTGGCAAACAATCCAATTACTGATTGAAATTATAAAATGAAATGGATCTACTACTTTTATTCTTGTCATTCAAATCTAAACTGAGGACTTCTTGAAGTGAGGATACTTCATTGCCTTCAAAGACACCAACACATGAAATGATAGCTGATGCCAGTATATTGCCCAGTAGGCTCAATGTCTGGAGATCATGAGAAAATCAATCATAGTGTGTTAGGTGGTAGTTCTAATTCATTGGGAGAAGACAGCAGTGGTTTGAAAAGATTAAAAATGACTTCTGAAATGATTAGTAAATAAAATATCACTGACATGAAGCTACCAGCGAATATTAAAATATATATATTTTTTTTTTTAAGGAGCAGCAACAGCTATGTGATCTACCATGTTAAAAGTTTAAGGAACAGTTCAGAACTGGATCTAAGTACAAACTTAGCTTAGTTTAAACTTGGTCCAATTAAAAGCCTATCTTAAATCATTCAAGTTATTATAACCAATGAGAAAAGTAAGAAAAATTGAATGCAATTTGTAAAATAATGTCCTACTAAGAATAATGATAAAACACGTATTATGCTCCAGAAGCAGGCTGAGCACCTGTGCTGAGGTGTACAAGCTGCTGGCAGACCGTGGCCGATCTTCCATCGAGCGCTAGTGAAGTGCACACACTCTTGAGAGCTTCGGGTCTTTAGCCGAGAACTGAACCACATTGCTTCGTGCAGCTACTGTTTCATATTTAAACCTTTAAAAAGACACTCTTCAAAAAAGGAATTGTCAGAACAAGGTTCATAATGCCTCAATCACTGCCTATGAAGCCTATCAAGCACCTGGCTTCCTTTTATGTCCTCAGTACATGAAACTATTCCAAGCCCACATTTCTTAATATGGGATAGGAGGGAGACGTAGGTTTACAGAGGGAGGACAGCACGTGCACAGTAAGAAAACATAAGGAATGAAAATTACTGGAAATGTAAGATAGAATGGATGCAAATAGTGCAAAACAGAAATTAAATCTCGACCATGAAACTTACTGTACGTCATAAAATGAAGTGAAAACTGAGTTTTATCAATGGAATGAAAAAATAATTAAAACCTTGTTCCTGTAAATTTACACATTGAAAGAGGCTTCTACTTATCTTAGATCCTATCAGATCAACCTAATATATACAAACACCCTTAGTGATGTGTAACTTGTTATCCACTTATCTTACGCTGATACTTGAGGATATATTTAGAAAAATCCAAAACAAAAAATAATTGCCATGCAAAAAACTTAAACCATTGCCAATAAAGTTTGTGAAAAAAGGGGAAAGCAGTATGCTCAAGATAACATTAAGGGACATTTGGACATAGGTAGGCTATATTTTACATACATTTCTGGAACAGAGATCATTTAAGGAGCTAGAAATATGCGTATTTGTTTTTACATCGGCAAGGGATCTGCATGGCAGCGACATTGAAAATGTCGACATCTTTAGGTCCCGGAGAACTGTTCTCTTTAGCAGTGTGGTCTTCTACAGTCTCAGTGCAGTTGTGGCCAAATGGAAAGGGTCCAATCCCACCTGAAGTGATTGGAGGCGTAGTCTCAGTGTGCATGGAGTCCAGCTCTTCTTCAGCACCTCTGTACATCTTCAGGGACAAATCTAGGCCTGCAGGCAAATGACATTACAATGCACAGTAGGCACCAACAGGACTATTGCATGTACATCGTTTTGTAAATTCTATCGCACATGGACATTTTGTATCCACCAGACAAGTTCAAATATTCAGAACAGGATCGTGGAACATGTTACAAGCACAGATTTTTTTTTTTCTCCATGGGATGGGAAATCACATCGTCAAAAGACGGTATTTTGAAACCCAGCACAACAGCAGTTTTCAGGATGGCATCATGCAGTGTAAAAGTTAAAAGGTGATAATTGTTCATAATTAACACTTTTCACAATGACCGTTAACGACTATTCCTGTTGTTTGCGTGCAAAGCCATCGGCTTTTCTGGACATAGGTTTCGGCGCTAAATATACAGATTGCTTGACATCCACGTTTAAATATTTGTTTCACCCTTGTGCACTCTTAAAACACCTCACTTACCTTCTATTCTGGCTTTCTTGGCCACGTTAGACTCCAGATATTCAAGGGCCCTCTTTCTAGGGGGTGCTCCATTGAAGTGGCTTCTGGGGTCAGTGGCCGGGTGGTCACCATTTAAAGCCCCATTGGTATAGAAGCCATTCAGCTGATTGAGCTGGTTCTGCACATTTGAAAGGAGCTCTGCACACTGCTGGAATCCCTGGGCGTGTGCAAGATCTGCTGCTGTCAGGCCACTAGCATTTCTCAAGCTGCACGATAAAAAAAGACTCAATTACTCTCTGTGCATCACTGCCGTTCACAGTCAATATACAGGTCATCTGTTTGCTTTCTACCACTGAAATGAACTCCCTGAAGGTGATATGAAGATTGTTCTAGGAAAGAAAATGCAAAAACACCTTTTACTCAACATTAACTGATTTACCTTCATAACAGTTCTTTAGCACTGCAGTGGGAAATGCCAATGTTTGTACTTTTAATGCAATCTGTTACAATCATAATTTAACACAAGAAACAAAGTGCCTGAATCCTTTTCCCTATTTTCATATTTCTAGGTAAAGGGGTACACCAGGTTTCTGCTCCACTGTCCTTAAAGAAAGTCCACAGAAAAAGCAGTGTGAAGAAAGCTCTAAAGTTAGCCACCACAAGGTTACTACTCTTTTCTAATAGTGTGATGATCAAAACCATATTACATGAAAACATGTAATCAAAAACAGCTGCAACTTCAGCAAAGACAATTCCACAGTCAGCCTATAAATCATTTAAAATTTTGTCAGAAGAGACAAACAAGATCTATATTAAAAGAGGACAAATGAACGTTGGGTCACTGAAAGAAGACTGACAAGCTATCACCATGAAGAGGTGTTGCATATCTTCAGCTGTGTCTTTCTTCTGAGATAGATGGCATATCATAGGACATAAGTGTTGGAAAACCAACACAATGGTAGGAAAGTTCGTTTAATGGAGTTGGAGCCTAACATCAGAGAGGACTGGAGAGGAAGAGTTGAGTCTTCAAATGCCATGTTTCCAGGTCTATTGACTTAATTCCTTGCTAATTCAGGAAAATACTAAAACGAACACATATTTGCATGTGTATCAAATAAACTATAAGAGAAAACCTGGTCAAAAGAGAAGTCAACATTAAGCATGAAAGTGTAAGACAAGATGTATTATTTGTCCAGTCAACAACTTCACAAATCACATTCTATCTGATCAATGCAGGTTCAGTTTTTATTTATTTTTTGCCCTCTTCTATTCTTTGTAACAAAAAGATTTTTAAAGATTCATCTTTTGAAGCAGTATAATCATTAAAGAACCTTTACCCCAAAACGTTCAAGAGTTCAAGCCAGTGCCATTAGAGCAATTTCAAATCCAACAGGATTGGCAGTTTAAATTTTACATCCTTAACAGAGATTATGAGGGGCCTTTATACAAAAAGTGAATGTAAGCAGTGTAATAAGAGAAGTTATGAGGAAGTGTATGTGAGAAAAGGAAGCACTGTGGCAAGTGTCTGGACCAAGCTATCAAGCCTGATTGTTGAAGCAGATGCCTAGGAGCTTCAAGAAACAGAATGACGACATATTTAGCTCAATGAGCCACTAGCAACCAAAAACACACTGTGAGCTGATCACTGCAACATTTCTTTGGTGTTTTGACGGCAGTGGGCTACCAGAGTGGTAAAGATTTAGTTAAGTGTTCTGAATATAACTAAACATCAGTGAAGCGCTAAATGGACTTGGTTCTTGAACAAAGTTTAATATGCAAATCAAAGGAGATGCACATGTAATTTTAAGGATAGGTCCTAGAAAGCAAACACTGCACGATCAAAAGCGTTTTTAACTGGATGTATCCATTTTCCTCCAATGTCAGATTCCTTTTCCAGCAGAAACACTTAAGAATCCCAATGCTGGAAAACAGAAGAAAGGCAGGCAAAGCTTCAGTCATCCAAACAACTGAAAGAATTGTTCAACGTTCAAAATCTTACGATTTGTAGTTTAAGATACTTGAACAATGAAATGATCTCCCAATCTACTCACTCGATCCATTTGTGGGGGGCTGAACTGATGGACCTGTGGAATAATGAATACCACCTACAAAGACGTGACAACATGGTTCATCATATCAGGTGGCAACTCAACCAAAGTACAAGACTAAAGAATGACCTTTTTGCCCATGAGACCATATCCCGTGTGGAAGTCAAAGAATATCCAAAATCAAACAGAAGAATGTGTGTTGAGGACCCATTGCATTTTCAAAGCAAGGGACATGATGGAGCACAGCAGCTGAACTAACGTTAAAGCAGACTGATGAAAGATATCTGCCCATATATTCTTTGCATGAAAATATTACATCTTGATGGAGTGGAGTATGAAAGAACTGTGGAATTACCTGAAGGAAAAAAAAAATCTTGCATGCATGGATTTTTACAAAGGAGTCTACGGATATACAAACTAATCAACCGGAAAAGAGGCTTATTTAGATTTGAATTTAATGAAATTCTGAAATGTTTTTTTCCCTAAAATGTTTTGAATAAGCATTCTCCTACATTTCGGCAACCGTATGACTCCCTCCCCGATTGAAAAGGCCTGCAAAGATCAGGATGGTGTTTTCCAAAAGAAACTGTATGGAGAGTGACAGATGGAGGACCGGCAGCACAGGTAAAGAAAAGGAACACAACCACATTTTCTACTGGATGGATATATTATACATATTTCTACCCTAAATATAACCTGAAAGGCTGAAAGGATTCAGGCATACAGGTAATGCAATATACCTTGTCTTTTCCCACTGCAGTAACTGCTGAGCCCTGCTTTGAATTTCTTAATAAGCAATGTCTTCTCTGAATGGCAATAACTAAGAAAATGAAGCCAGATCCCCCCCCCCCACCCTAAAAGGTTCACAGACACAAATGCTAAACCTTGTATCCAGTGGCTCTTGCTCCTTATGACATGTGATTTTGTTTCCAGAATGTATCTGCAACATCACTTCACAACCACACAGAAACTAGCTCAGACTAATGGCATGCTGGGAAATGTAATTTTGGGAATTATACTATAAACAGATTCAGTATTTAAAATTACATTTTGAAACTGAGTTTATATTGGTAAAGAAGAAAAAAAGTTGCAAATACCAATGAAGACCACAGAGAATACTCACAATGCTCTTTACAGCAGTTTAGTCTAGAAGAGAAAATCTTACAAATCACATAATTGGTTAAACAAGGCTTGAGTAAGTTCTCAGAACACGTACTTCACAGAATAATTTGAAGCAAAAGGCTTTAAGATCACCCTTGTAAAAGGTTTCACTGTACAGAGTCATTATAAGGAAGTGTAGTGTATAAGGTCTTTTAGACAAATCTGGAGCAAGACTTTCTTCTCGATGGGGCATTAAGAACAGTAAACTAGTACATTCCATCCTAAATCAGTACAGAGTAACCAATCTGTGACTGCCACATATACAGCAGAACAGGAGATTTTATGTCCAACTTTCAAGACAGCCCAATCAAAGTACCAAGAAGGACATGCAAGACAAATCCCTGCAAGGAATGTCAGGTGGGTGGATCAAAGTTGTGTTTTGAAGTTTACTGGTGGTTCTTCTACTAGCAAAACTTTAAACTACAGTACCTCCTCCTACATTTCCAACTGGGGCTTCCAGTTCCCAAAAGCAGGCATGTAACCAGAAAGTTACAATTGTGACTAATCTGCACATAAAACATTCTTCCAGGAGGCTGGAGGGTCATCCAGGTGTTTTTTTTTTTGGCAAACTTGAGACAAGCATCAATGTTCTTCTTAGCATTTATTTCCATCCTGGTACTCTGCCATGAAACCTATTTTTACCCAGTGCTTTTCTGTTCGAGGAGTCATGAACACCGATTTTAGCCAAGACCAGAGAGGCCCACAGATGCTTGGATGTTGTTCTCGGGATGGAGAATTCCTGGACGATTTTAAACTGCGTGCTTGGAGTGATTTTGGCAGGATGGCCCTTCTTGGGAAGATTCACTATTGTTCTTAATCTTCTGCATTTTAGGAGTATGACTCTGACTGTATCTGGCTGGAGCCCTAGAACTTTTGAAATGGTTTATAACCTTTTCCAGACTCAAAGGCATTCATGATTCTAAGGTCTTCAAAGGCATTCATTTTTCTAAGGTCTTCAAAAATAACTTTTGAGCAGCGCATGACGTGCCTCTATTCCACATTGTCAGAACTTCACTGTGATGATGAAAAACAAAGCTTTTGAGTTTTATATAGAGCAGGGCTGTCCTAAATCAGCCCTGATTGTTCTATAATGCATTCATACAGCTGGTCCTAGCTATCCCTTTTATAGATACCGAATCAACTGAACTAGGGGGGGCATTAACTTTTTCATAAAAAGTAAAATAACATTCAGTGGTAAAAATATGCAGAAATTCATAAAATCTGAAAAAGGGACAAATTCTTTTCACAGAACAGTATGTTAATGCTAATATTCTGCATCAGATAAACATATACATGATATATACACCTTAATTAGTCCAAAGTCTGATATTTTGTGTTGACTGGGTAAGATCTTAAGAACCTTGGGTAAGAACCTACATACTAATATAGTCTATATTTTACTTTATATAAAACGTATGTACATTATATAATATTTAAGGCATGATTTAGGCTCTTGACATTGGCTTTGAAGAATAGCTTGTGCTCCCTGAAGAATTAATTTGTGGCTTCTGAATCCTCTTTCATTTGCTATTTTAATCAACAGAACTGAAGTGTGGCCCTCCCTGAAGATAAAGCAGCCTCTGAGAACTGTTTTAGTACTTAACTAGGCTCAATGATCTATGATCCAATGATATTTCTGGAAGCACTACATCTCACAGCAGCTTTTCTTTATTATACCCATTATTCACTTTTCCATTCCATGCTGGTTTTTCCAGAATATGCTAATTTCCTGTCGAGTACTGGGTGATGTGCGAGGCAGCCAACGACCCAGAAAGCAATCTGACTACTCTATGTGCCTCATTCCACATGCACAAGCACTGTGAAGTGGAGACCACTGCTAGGAATTGCAACTGTAAACGAACCAACCTATCGAACATCTTGGATGATTAAGAAATAAAATCCTAGTATCTGTGATCCTCTATTGTTAGTACTGTCACAAGAGCCATAGTTTGTGCTCGGAAAAGAAGAACATTTTTTAATCATTTAACCTTAACCTATCATTGAATCAAAGGATACCATTAAATCTTTGGTTTTCCTTAAATTGACTCTGCACATTG